TTTAGTATGTGCGTTCATGTCAGATGCATTTGGTCTTTTCCTACATGAGGAAGAAAAGGGTGTCAGCTTGGACGGTAGTGTTGCATCATGAGGTCGTACAAAACCCAACACATATGACTACAATAAATCTTGCATTAACTCAGTCCAAAATACACTGTTATGACGAGATGACTGAATCACGCAATCCCTAACACGCACTGCAATACTCACCAACAAAATCAAGGCAAAACCAACAAGCGATCCTTAAAAGGCCAGTGATGAAAAGATGCTATCTTCAAGGATGAAACTGATGGAACAGCTACCACAGAAACTTGCTGTACGTTTTTGTATGGATCAGAAATACAAAAGGGAGAAGCACAGTTTCGCTCCTGAACGATGTTCGTTAGGGACCTAAAAATCTGAAAATGCCTCATTCCTTCTTACCAAGCCTGAAACTGACTCGAACGACTTTGTCCCCTCTTTTTGAATTAAGGCTTCGCGCGAAAGTCTGATTCGAAAATGGACAAAACAATCACCCAAAAGTTTCGAAACATGAAATAAACGATCAAAATCACCTGCATTAGCTTTTGGCTTCAAGTTCAAATTCAGGCAAACAGCAGAATGAGACATGCTGCACATTAAAAATTTTAAGTTCACCCAATTAAGCAATGAAAACTGGAGAGCTGAAACAATTACCCAGATTTCAGTCATGGCAAGCCAAAATTTGAGTTAATGCGACAGTTCTGAAATAAGGTGAATCCTAGAATCAAAATTTCAACGACATGCAACCAGTACACTATTGCAAGATCATTTATGGCTTAGTGGAAATGCCTTAAGCAAGCACACTTGCTCATTCGAGCACCTTGCATCTACATCTACTAAAAGTGGGAATGCACGGTCCCAGTGACCCTTATAATGTGTTGTGCCAATTTTTTAACAACAATTATTTATTGCACCTACAGGAAGCACTTAATGCACCTAGATAGAGAGAACATTAAGAAAAAGCTCGAGCCTGCTATGTGGAAAAAAAAAGAACTCAGAAAGATAAGCTTCATGAAAGCGAACGCACAAACTGGTTGCACATATTAGGATGCAATCAATGGAAGAACTGGAGATCAACTGATGCGAGCAAGACGCAGATCGTTCGACGAAACACAGCGTGAGAATGGTGGAACTAGTAAAGTACTGGAGTATTCGGAAGTTGGTGGGATTGTATTCTGTCATCAATAACATCAGCACTGATGAAGCTATTTAAAACTCATATACAGGGGACTTAACAATCACAGTGTAACAATATCAGTGATGGTATCACGAACAGCAACTGTGATCAGCGAAGAAAGGAACAATGAAGATACTCTATATACACAATGGACGACCATCGCATCAACCTGTATGGAAGGGATGCTTTGTCAACTTTTCAGTACTCATCATTTCTGTAGCCGATGTAGTCTCTCTTTTCCCCTTGGCTTAAATCCTCCCTCTCTAAAGTGCAGTAGTACATGAATT